CCCAATTTATATTCACTTTTGATTTCAATGCCTTCACATATATTACAAACATCACATACACATAACAGTTTCCCGTGTTTGTGGTATCTATAAAGGCATTGAGGTCAAAAGTGAAGTGTAACTTGAGATCCCTATAGCATGAATTTAAATTAAATAGAATGGAATTGGATGTGCCGGGTTCGATCAAATTGTAATTTATATCAGTATACAAATAAATTTTATTAGATATATCTCGTTACGAACTTTCAAAATTTTGTTTTAGTATATATACAATTCAGGAGTAGTTAAACTATTACAGTTTAAAATCTATCTAGTTTGACTTGACTTGATTTTATTTAATTTATTTAGAAATTGAATATTGTTCATCTTTTTGTTTTTTTTATAAAATTGAATATTGGTTTTTTACCAAGCACTAAGCGTTTATTTTCAAGAACTGGCCAGTCGTCAATTTGGATGGTCCAATGACTGCAAGAATTACAATCTACTCACCATCTCTCTTGGCAATGGGAATGAAGGGTTAGTTTTTGCATTATTTTCCCACTTATATTTCCGTATGTTTTCTTGAAATAAAATGGAACACATTAATCTAGGGAGTATATGTTTTCAATTTCATCTTCACTTATTAGGATTAATTTCTTCTCAATTATCAGCATTATTACATTGCATTTAAATCTCTGCTTTTGTGGATTTTCTTTTTTGATGTACAGATGTGCTGCGTGCAAACTGTTTGCTAAAATGTCTGTGTGAGTTCTCAAAAATTGATTCTTATAATTTTTTTCAAATGATGATTCATAATAAATTTTAATGTACTGGCTATACTTTTCTGTTACTGAGTGAATTTTAATGAGCGATTGCATATTTTAGGGCACCATATTTTTAAATTTGTTAATAATTTTGGGGTGCAAAGTGGCCAACCGGAGGATGTGCAAAGTGGCCAACCGCACAGGGCACCTTAAAATTTAGAGCACCATATTTTTAAATTTGTCAATAATTTTAAAGCAAAAGTATTCTAAAAATATAAAATAGGACACAAAATGTAAATTTTGGACCGGGCCAATTTTATTTTTTCATTTTTCAGGGCCGGCCCTGGATTGCAAATACTTTGGAATATTTGCATACCGAATAAAGTTAAAAGCATATGCATAATTAAATTAGAGAAATTATTTGCATTCAATCCGATGAAATTTTAAGAGTAATGACCAGTTTAAATCTTTGTTTTACCCAGGGTAAATGTTTTTTGTACTTTGAGGTGTTTGAGCTAAAAAGAGTGAAAATGAAGATATTGGTGGATATGTTCATGAGATATTCTTTACATTTGTTTATGCAGTGTTCGTAAAAGCACTAAGCGGTGTCTGGGCAGTATTTTGGGGTCTAGACATAGTGCGTAGGTGAAATCTGGCTGACCCAAATGCGTTGATGTAATATTCATAGTGAATATAATATTCACTGCCTTTTACCAAACTTGCATTGAATAATGTTTGGAGGGAAAGGTGCAAACTTGTCACTTCCAAAAGTTGGTGAAGTTGCAATGAATTTTGCATCAAAACCTCCACAGAGACCCGAAGGAAAGTTCATATCATTATTGCGAATGTGTAATACTCCAAGCAACCTCAAACACATCCAAACACAGATCACAGTGCACGGTCTTGGTCGTGATGAGGACACGATACCTGTTTTTCTGCTAAAATGTTTTGATTTGAATCAAATTTCTACTGCTCGCCAGCTATTTGATCACATTAGCTACCCAAGTTATTCCTTGTGGAATGCCATGTTCAAAGGGTACCTCCAAAAAAACCACTACAGAGAGGTCCTTGTGCTTTTTCATCGTATGTGGAGCACAGGTGACAAGCCGAGCTGCTATACATTTTCCATAATTTTGAAATCTTGCGGGAAACTATCTGCTCTGATAGAAGGTGAAGAAGTGCATTGTGTTGTTTTTAAGACTGGGCTTAGGTCTAACACATTTGTGGGTACTACCTTGATCGATTTGTATTCAAGAACAGGGAAAATCAAGTGTGCTCACACAGTGTTTTGCGAAATGGTTTTGAAAAATGTAGTTACATGGACTTCTATGATCAATGGGTTTGTCGAGAATGATGATTTGGCCACTGCTAGGAGGCTTTTTGACTTGGCACCTGAGCGAGATGTCGTGTTGTGGAATACCATGATTGTAGCATATATTGCATCCAGGGATATGAAAGAGGCTCGAAAACTTTTCAATGCCATGCCAAATAAGGATTTGATGTCTCATAATACCTTGTTGAATGGGTATGCAAAATCTGGGAATGTTGATGAGTGTGAGAAGCTGTTTGGAGCTATGCAGGAAAGAAACATATTTTCTTGGAACGGTTTGATTGGAGGGTATGCTCATAAGGGACACTTTGTTGAAGTTCTCAGTGTTTTTAAAAGGATGTTAACCGAGTCGGATGTGCAGCCTAATGATGCCACTCTTGTCAATGTGCTGTCTGCATGTGCTCGATTGGGAGCTCTTGATATGGGCAAATGGGTACACACATATGCAAAGAACATCGGTTATTTAGGTAATATATATGTAGGGAATGGTTTGGTTGATATGTACGCAAAGTGTGGGGCAATTGAAAATGCACTTGATGTCTTTAGGAGCATGGCTGATAAAGACTTGATATCTTGGAACACAATAATCAATGGTGTGGCGGTTCACGGTCAAGCAGTTGACGCCTTGAATTTGTTCAGTCAGATGAGAGAAGCTGGTGTTCGACCGGATGGAATAACTTTCATAGGTGTATTATGCGCTTGCTCTCACATGGGTCTAGTCCCAGAGGCATTTGAGTATTTCCAATCTATGACTCGCGAGTATTCCATTGTGCCTCAAATTGAACACTATGGTTGTATGGTTGATCTTTTGGGCCGGGCAGGACATTTCAAGCAAGCTGTGGAGTTTGTGCAAAAGATGCCTGTGCCACCAGATAATGTTATTTGGACCGCATTGCTCGGGGCTTGTAGGATTCACAAGAAGATCGATGTTGCTGTGCTGGCACTTGAGAAACTGATTGAGCTTGACCCAAACAACCCCGCAAACCATGTAATGCTGTCTAATATTTATGGGGATGCCCGTAGATGGAACGACGTGGCAAAGCAGAAAGTTGCAATGAGGGATACTGGTTTCAAAAAGGTTCCCGGGTATAGCTCTATTGAAATTGGCGATGAAGTGGCTGAATTCTATTGCTTTGATGAGAGGCATCCCGATGCGCGTGCAATATATGAAGCTTTGAAGACATTGATGGAAATATCAATGTCCCATGATAATCTTTTCGACTTATGGAAGCTGGTCAATGGGCCTTGGTGAAGATGAATGTGCGGGTGGATGCAAAAAAAACCATGTGTTTTGGTTCAAAACATATCCATCTTCTTTCAAGGTTATATATAGTTTTTGGGGGTGTTTCTCTGAGCTGGTACGTATTGGCTTATTACTGATAAGTAACTTTTAACTTATAAGCTGCTTATGTGGATGTTTCTCTGTGTTTATAGGTTGGCCAAAATTGCTTATAAGATGCTTTTAACTTATAAGTCATCATATTATATGTTTTTCCGTGCTTATAAGTTGACTTATAAGTTGTTTCAAAAAAAAGTTGACTTTAAGCTGTTTTAAGCTAGAAAAAATAAGTAGGTCTTACCTACTTATTTTTAAGTCAGTTTTTTTCGTTTCTCCATTTTGACCAAATTACTTACAAAACTATCCCTCACCTATTATGTATATCTCCAATGACTTATATATCATTTAAGTCATTTTATCTACATGAAAGATTTTTTAACCTATAAGCGGCTTATTAGTTAAAAACTACTAATAAGTCAATAAGCACCAGAACAGAGAGACACCCACTATATATTCTTTCGTAGAAGTAAAATGACTTAAATGATAAATAATTCATTCGGAAATATTCATAAACAGTGAGAGATAGTTTTGTAAATAATCTGGTCAAAACAGAAAAACAAAAAAAAACTGGCTTAAAAATAAGTAGGTAAGACCTACTTATTTTTTATGGCTTACAATTAGCTTATAAGTACAGAGAAATATGTCTTACTTATAAGTTAAAAACAACTTATAAGCATTTTTATCAGCTTATAAGCACAGAAACACCCACTTTATTTGAAGCAGATTTTCATTTGTTGTATTCTTAACAGATAGATTTAATACATTTCTTTATGGGATTCCAAATATGCTTTCCCATGTGTTGCAGGAATCCATCTTGTTCTATTTCATATGATGCAGAGGCACTTCTATAGTATAAAGAGCTTATAAGGTAATAAAAGTTAATGGAATTGAGGCTTTATTCGTGGAATGTTTGTTTTTAAACTTGTGTTTTATGATTGAAGTTTCAGTCCATTCACTTGCCTGGTTTAATAAATGATTTAAGAGTTAAGGAGTTTATAGATAGGAGAGATGAGTGTCCATCTATTAAAAGTTTACAACTACAAATCCCATAAAACTAGGGACCTTAATCCTACTAGAAAGTAGAGAGCCTGTTTCCAAGAGACTCCTAGATCAAACACAGTCAACGTTAACCAACAAAGAAGATATAAAGCACGAACAAAGAAATACTCCATCCGTCCAAAAAAGAATGTCACAGTTCACTAATCAAAAATCTCGGGGATTGTTATTTATTTGTATGTTTTCTTCTATTATCTGATAAAATAAAATATTCTTAGCACCTTTTATTTTGAAAAACTTTTGACGCAGTTTTTAAATATGTAAATTTTATTTTTTATTTCTATGCTAATCTTTAATTACTCTATAAAAAAAGTTTTCTTTCTCTTACCCGTCAACTCGCAGCATGCTCTTGTAGTCTGTTTGATCATCATTGATAAATGGGGTTGGGGGAAAGTCAAGAGAAGACGAAGTGGCGGCTTTCGTGATAAATATTTATACCTTCTCTGTGTAATAAGGAATCTCACAAAATAAAACAATAAAATTACGGAGTACTGCTTATCGGATATACTGAAATCTGCAAGAGATAGGGTTGATATTGATTCAGTGTTTTCCAGATGAATTTTCGGTAAAGAGTGCAGTTCGTGTGTGGGATTGAATCAAATCGGCCTATGCTGAAACGGGTCGGATTAAAAATGGGTACTTGGTTCCGCAAGAACATCATCGACCCGCTTCTTCAAATCCTCCGCAGGTAGATCTATCCCCTCCTTTTCGAATCTGGTTGTTTAGTTCTAAGATGAGTCATGGAAGATTTTCATTGTCGAATATTTGCAGTGTCAAATCTGTACGTCTCTGTGATTTTTTTTTTTCGTTTTTGTTTTTTGAAGGGGAGCTGAACCCAAGCAATTGGCATTTTCTGGTGCACTTGGAATTACATTGGGAATCTTCCCTATTTGCGGTATGATCCCTTCCTTTTAAACCCATTCAGTTCAAAATTTACCTTTTGAATTAGGGTTTTCTTTATTACTCGGTACTTCGTTGCAAAATCAAGCCTTTGGTACCTACTATCTCTGCGACACCATATTCTTCAATGTTGTTCTAATCTTCGGGATCTTGGTTGAAATTTTGGGGGTTAATCTATGACATACTCGAAGTAAAGTTTTTGCACCCCCTTGTATTTGCTGGAGAAAAAAAGAGAATCAATTGAGTAGACCATATATGTGCATAATTGACTACATTGTCATTATTGTCGTTATCATCACAAGTATCAGGATCATAATCCCAACTAGTTGGGGCTGGTGACATTAAATTTGTAGTGCTCATCCACACTGTGCATTCACGCAAAAATAATAGTGAATGATTTACCATGGATGCACATCATGTTAAACCTACATTAATAAAAGGGTGAACCCCATCCCTTGGGTACTCCAAGGACCGACCGTCTCACAAATAAAGAGTGAGATCTATCCCCGATGTGCATGATCGCCCTTCATCGCCGTTGTGAGTCGAACTCAGACATAATCCCTTTCTGCATCCCTTCTCTTCTATATATGTTATGCCCCTGGCAATTTCAACCTTCATTGCTAGTAATTGGAACTGCATTGACTTTGGGACTTTGGTAACTAATTCCTGAGCTCCAATCGTGTCTGTGTGTGTATTTTCTTAGGTGTTACTATATTTCTTTGTGGATTGGCTATTGCATTACTTGGATCTGTTTGTCATGCTCCAACAGTGATGCTGGCAAACTTTATTGCCACCCCAATTGAATTGAGGTAAAAATAACAAGCTTTAAAAGGACTCTTTAGTCATTTTCATAGACATTTGAAACGAGCTGTCATCTAATATAATTTGGTTCTCTCTTTTCATACTTGTTTCTTCTTTACCTTTGCCCGTGCTTACATTATTTTTCGTACCAAAGAATATAATCATTGTAATTTTTGCTTTCATTACAAAGTTTAATTTTTTACTTATATTTTCAGCTCCTAATATGAATTAGTGTTCTTTACAGAATACTCTCTCCATCCCAAAAACATATTCATGTTTCAAAAACTTTATTTTAACCTTAATTAATGTTCTATTCCACACAACTGAGCTTTTTATTTTTCATGTAAATTTCAAAAGAAAGTTACAAACAAGTTCAAAATGACAAATTTATTTAAACCAAAATTTAAAAATGTTTGTAGGATTCCATGACTTTTAAGAGTTACACGCTTCCAAACTTTTAAAATTGTACCTTGGATAATCAAGTTTCTTTTAAGGACAAAGGGAGTGATTTAGGTTCTGTTTGCTATTTTGCTTATATACACCTTATATAGTTGATGAGGACAACATACTTTTAAAACATCTTCATGATAGTTCCTGTTGTCATCGTTTCTTTCATGCTAATCTCTGTCTTTCCACGAACCATTTGTATTAAATGCTGCAGTTTGATCATACCATTCCTGCGATTTGGCGAAGCCATTACTGGTGGCTCTCATTTTCCTTTAACTTCTGATGCACTAAAGAAGGTTTTTACTGGTGAAGCTTCACACGAACTCTTCCTAAGCATTCTTCGCGCGGTAGGTGCAGAAGAAACTTTTAATTTTCTTTCGCTTATTCCTTTTCTTTCGTCTTGATTTTTATATTTCTCAGCTGGACCCTTAAGCTGCATACTCTTTGTTTTTTACCGGGAACGTTCTATTTTTATTTTGTAAAACCACCAGAGCAGGGGAGATTTCTACGAAGTCTTTGTGGATCTGTGTTTATGCAAATAAGGTCTGACCTGAAGGTTTAAGTGTGTGTTTGGATGCCAGAAAACATTGGGGAAAAGAAAAAAAATGCCAAGGAAAGTTATTTTCTTATGTTTGGTATCACATTGGAAAATGTAACGAAAATGAAATTCAATTAACTTTTACAAAATTGATGCCTTGGTATATATGTGGTAGAAATAATTAGATGAGTTACGAGAGTGTCATCGAGTTCGAGTCTCATGGTTTCTAGTTACTGAAACCATCATTGAATTTGAAATTATTTCAACTCTTCGCTTTCAATTTCTGCGAGTCAAAGTTCGAACATTACCTTATTATTAAGGTTTAAGATTATTATGGTTGTTGTTCCTAAAGCTAAGATTGAATATTTGACGAATGTTTCTTGCAGCTGTTGGGGTGGATTGTTGCTGCACCGTTCATACTGGGAATCCTATACATAGTGTTATTGCCATGCTTTGCAGTCTTGGTCAGTAAGTTCAGCGGTGCATCGTCTCTTCCCTCTTCCCCCAAGATCCCATTGATTCATCAACCCCCTAGTACTGCAGAATTGAAGCTCAAGGTGAGAGATGTATGATGGATGGTTTAGGGGCTGTTTGTTTGTTGCATTATTCAAATGAAATAAAAAAATCTCATCTTGTTACATATTGCTTGTAAATATTCAATATAGCCCTTTCTGAGAAGTTCTCTCTCTCTCTCTCTCTCTCTCTCTCTCTATCTCTCTCTCTCTCTGTGTGTGTGTGTGTTGTGTGTCTGTACTAATAATGTATGGTGATTATTCTCATTTGGTGTGTACAAATGTGCAACTTTTAAAGTTAGACCAAACCCTTTTCAAGTTTGTGAACCGTTTTGGTGAATGTTTGTGTCAACTTTTTAGTACTCACTATTGTGTACTTCCGTCCCGAATTATTTGTCTAGTTTTACTCTTTTCCCCTTGTGCTAATTCAACCACAGGAAGTATTTGTCTAGTTTTTCTTTTTAAATTGAAAACATAAAATACATTTAAATCATAAAAATCTTAAAAACTGACAATAAAAGTTTAAAAAGAAAATTATAAAGCTTAAAGACTGAAAAACATTTAGGAAAAATAAAATTTTTTAAATTTAGAACTAAAAAATGTGAATACTATACATGTTCATCATGAAAGATGACTTTCATTGAATCCTTTCTTTTTGTCTAAGTCGGAACAAAGTAAACACGAATGGCTCGTAATCTAAGCATCCAAGTGGTGCGACTATTGTCAATCTCTGCAACAGCATTTCACATACTCTTTGAATGTTTTTGAGACATTTTTTCAAAAGAAGGGGGAAGTTTTTGGGATGAGATTGTGAGGAAGTACCTACTCGGTGTAAGTAGTATATATAATAATTGGATAATGAACCTATGAATCAATTCATTAAATGTTTGGATTTGGTAAATCTATTTGTTTAATTTGATTTCACATAAAGCTTGCATGAAATCACGAACCAATTCTTCCCCTTAAATTAAATCCATTTATTTAATTTAGATTTTTCCATTCGGAAATCTTTCGGATATATGCTATAATCGGTTCTGGTCGGCTTAATTTTGGTTCGGATTTGATTTGATTTTATAAATTTTTCGGTTTCGAGTCGGTTCAGATGCGGTTTAGATATAAATCAATTCAGATAGATTTCGGTTCGGATACATTTTGGATCTGATATATTTAAGTTTCGGATCAAGTTCGATTCGGATATATTTCGATTTCGGATATGTTTTAGTTCAATTATATTTCGATCGAATGCATTTTTGATATAAATTATTTTCTAATTAAAATTTAATTACCCATGTTGCTTTTTTTGTTGGAAAAATTTAAAACACTCAAAAAAATGCGAGATTTTACACTATAACCCCCAAATTTAATAAATAACATCATTAGTCCGTA